ATCAGGAATTCCTGGTGGCTTGCGCAGGATGGTCACCTTGCTTTCACACTTTCACCTAAAGGGACTTTGTCCCGTCTTACTTTCCTCTGAGTAGCAGTATAGGCTCAAAAACGTGACACTGAAGCTGGTTTTGTTCCATGTGTGATTCATTAATACATGCAAAGTAAATGTATAATGCAGCTTTTCAAATCTGGTAGTATTTTTATGATTGTACTTGTTCTGAACAGCTATAAATTGACAGCTCAAGGCATTCCCACCGACTTTGTAGAGTAGGGGAAGTAGTTTGGAAGCCATTTCACGTGCCTCTCTGGTGGTTTCTGGTATTTTGAATGTCAGGGAGATAAGAAAGAGTGCAGAAATGAGTAAGTTTAAAAACCTGGAGAGATAGAAGAGTGGATTCTCAAAAGCCTGTCAGCTCCAGTTTTTGAACTAGGTTGAAATAAATTTAAATAAAATTAAAAAATCAATCTGAACATGGTGTTGAACATTTTTAGAAACTCTAGTATGATCTACATTTTGCGTTTAGCTTCTTTGTGGTGCCTTTGTTAGCACAAAGAGTAGTAGGGATGTAAGAAAACTGGATGTTGATAAAACGCTGTTGGAAGACTCTAGTGAAGACCTGTGTATCAGAGCTTTGGTTTGAAGTATGTAGGTCTCGATGTAAGCTGTAGAGCTATAGCTAAATGATTATTAAAAGCAAAGCCTCAGTGCTAAGTCTGCTTCTGAAGGCTTTAGCTTGGGAAGTTTTCTTCTACTTGAATTTTATTGGGAGATCTGTCTCACATTTGTAGCGAGGGTGATTTCTGCAGCTTGGTATTTATGGAATTGTGTGAAATGTACTAAAGAGAGGAATGTCAGGAGGCTGGGATGTACATGCCTGAGTGGAATACATCAGCGCGCTGACGCTATTTTCTTGAAATAAAATTCGTGTTTGTTACTGAAGTAAACATTTTACTCGGAATCTGCCAGAAGCTTATTAGGAACGTAGGAAGTCCCCAGACCTTGATCTTTATTATTTTTGGTCTTGAAAGCTGAGCTTGTAGCAATGAATCTGGCAGCAGAGGGAGCATAAAATGTGTGTGACTGTTTCTTTTCTTGCAACGCGCCGTTGGGCGGCCGCCGGGAGGAAGGCCTGGGGAAGGGAGCAGGGAGTCTTGCTTGCTGGGCAGGGAGTCCTTCAGGCCATAAGGACTGGTTAGCTGTGGTCTGAAGGAAAGGGATGCTTGAGGGACTGAGATGGGTCGGTTCTCTTTCTATAGCTGAGCGTGATTTACTTTGGATCCAGTGCTAGCGATGATCCAGCTTTCATTAACGAGGTATTTATTGCTGGTCATGAGTAGTAATATTCGTTACTATTATTCTTTAATTTGTCATATTTGCGGGAAAGTAAAATGGGTGGATACTGTATTTGTATATCTTTTACCCTGTAATTAGTTGTACACGCTTTCAGGCTGAGGCTATTTACTTTTCTGAACTTAATGATTATTTTTGGTGTTAGCTGATTCTCCGTTGAAATAGTCAGTGGCATGCATTCCCTTCCCTGCAAAAACAAATGAATCTTTTGTCTTTTAAACTCAGATTTTTGTTTATTTCTTATTCTCACAGTGTTTATGGATAGTTGTGAATGTTGCATAAGATTGCACGTGGTTTGTTCATGCCAGACCACTTTGCAAGAGACTTGAAAGAGTCCCTGTGTGTTCCCAGAAGGCTATTTTTTTTTTTAAATTCAGTTCAATAGAAGACAAGCAAGACTTTCACAGTCAAACAGTGTAGGAAGCTTGCGGAGTGAGGAGGATTTCTGTGTAATATCCTAAAGACAGGAGTTGAAAACGACTGCTTTACAAATAGCTTTGCTCTCTGCTTTTGAAAGGCTGACCTGCTGCACACTGAACTCTTTGCAGAGATTATCCCTGCTTGATCTTAGACCAGAGTTCTCCTGACTTTTTATTTATTAAGACCTTTTTTATTTTAAGAGCTGTCATCGTATGTAAGGAAGCTAATGGGTTTTGATTAAATAATTGAGCTTTGCCTTTATTTTTGTATTTCTTGTATGTGCAGAAATCTGTTGTTCGGAATTATTTTTTTTTACCTGAAGTGATTTCTTTTTCTTCTTGGGGCCAGGTAGCTACATAGAAATACCTGGAATCTATGACCCATTTTGTCCTGTGTCCTGTTCTCCCCCACACTATGTAAATTAATGATCAATTTACTTCTGCAACACTGAAGGTAGTGAAATTTCTTTCCCTTGTGAAAATGGAGATATAATGAAACCTTTTATTTCATGGAATTAAATTATTGCTACCGAGTGCTTCTGAATACAGGATGATAACCAAGGAAGTTTAGTTGTTATCTGTCACTTAAGCAACCTCTTCTCTCCGCATTTTTCTCAGCTGATCATTTTCTTCAGGTTTTTTGTGGGAGTATTTGAGGCTCACAGAAGAGTAACTTGTAGTACGGGATGAGAAGTTGTTTGACGTGATGCATAGAATCATTCAGAGATTTAGTGAGATTAAAACAGCTTCCTATTCTAGACTATCAGTGCCTTTGTTTAAAAATAGCTGACAGTAGTAGAGCAGTTGGTTGACTTCAATACTGAAGCGAATTTGTTGTAGTTGCCTGTGTTATTTCTTTTTGGTGAAGGTAGTTAAGAGCTGGATTTAAAATACTGGTTATATTATGGCTGGCCCAGCACCAAAACCAACAGCTATAAAACTATGTGCAGCTATTGTATTGGACAGAAAAATTACTGCATAATTACCACTTTAGCTCTGTAAATTTATAGTTGATTAAAATGATGATAAAAAGCATGGAATGTATTTTGTTTCCTTTTTTTCTTGTGGCGTTGTGGCAAGGAATGTTTAAGCAAATAGTTAGCTATGATGGAACGTGATTCTATGGGTAGAATAAAGTGGGAACATTTTAAATACCATTCGTTTCAAATTAAGTTCAACGTCAGTGGCAAATCCGTGGCTCGTCTTAGACCATTGCCAACTTTTTCTAATGTTCATGTGCTTTTATTTTCTTTAATGGAGATTCTCATGAGGTATTAGGCAAACATCTTTCCTATTCCTTTTTTATTTGTTTGCAGTTAGAACCTGTTACAGAGTGAATTTCTGAAGGCCCCTATTTTTGCTACTTGAATCCTGGTTAAAATCCCATTTGTTTATAATGAATTTCAATTAATGGAAACAAGTAGGAAAACAAATCTTTGCAATAGCTGCCGACGTTGTCAAATAGTTGTCTAGCGACAGGTCATTCTGTCCTGTGTGGTTATCAATCAGTCGATGAACCTGTATTCCGTAGCCACAAGTGACAAGGAGTGTGTATTTGGCCTCTAAGGCTATGGAATCGCTGCCTCCGATGAGTTCATTAACATGCTAATAAATCTGGTTCTCATTTGTCTCCCCCTTCCTCCAGTGAACATTTGTCATGTGCCTTCACATTCTTTCTCCATGGGGAAAGCAATGTGTGCACGAGTGTGGAGATTGCTCAACACCAGCCTATCTACCTGATCAACGAAGAGCATATCCATATGGCCCAGTCCTCACCGTCACCGTTCCAGGGTAAGTGAGCCGGATTTGGAGCTTTCTGTGCTGAACCTCACTTCTGTGCAGCAGGGACTTCCCTCCTGGTGATGTTCTCTCCAGGGGTGAATAAAGTCAGATTAAGTAACTCTTCAAATGGGTTAAATTTCTATTCAGGAAGTTGTGGACATAAAGGGGGAATGTTGTTAGGACTTTGATGCCATAGCCAGCCGTAAATGGCATGGGAATTTGCCAGAGCTTTCTATTAATTAACATTGATTTTAAAGGTACATGCATGTAATAAATAAACAAATTCATCATTTTTGTTTAAAAATACTTACTATTTAAGAAAGCGAGGGCACTGATCTGATTTTCTTACACTGTGTCTGGGTCAGCGGGCTCAAATCTGTAACTTCAGTGCTACGTGAATACAAATACCGAGCTTAACTAGTTCAGGAGTACTTTTCATTCATAGATTGTCAACTTTTTTTTTTTTTTAAAAAAAAAAAAAGGAGGTGTGTGTGAAAATGTATCAGAAACAATGAAAAACTTGAAGTATCTGTGCCTATTTATTTGCCAGTGTAAGAAATTAAGGTTTTACAGAATTAAGGTAATGGCTTATTAAATTCATGATGCAATTGTGATGCAATGCGCTACATGAAAAAAACTTAAGCCTACTTGAGTCATTGAATTATACTGTCTTTACTACAGTCTGAAATCATCATTTCAAATCAATTAAAGCAAGAAATCTTTATAAAATTAGACATTTAAAGAAACACCCAGAGGCTTACAAAATGAGCATTAATGTATAGAAGCTTTATTGAAGAACGTTTTGTTTCTAAATGTAAAGTTTTGACAGAGACTCAGGCACTGAAATCATAGAAGGGTTTATTTCAGTGAGCTAAATTTGTTACTCTCTCAAATCAAGTATGACTAAAAGCAAAATTGTGTCTGAATGGAAATACCTGTTGTTGAGCAACTAGCTGTTACTTGTCATGACTGTAGTCTTCTGCATGTTTTGTTCTCTGTATCCTTTTTAATGCTGAGAAGTCTTTAGTACCATATGTTCTTGGTAAAAACCCTATTGTTGAATGTCTGTCCTCTATTGCTTCCATGTATGGTCATCCCTTTGCCATAGCGAGTGCTGCTGCAGTGGGCTTAGACTAGTTCATTGTGGAAATTATTAAACTGAGCTGCAAAGGTCCGTTGCAGCTCAATAAGGATGGCTGTACAAGAAGCTAGTGCAGTGTAATGTAGCTTTAACTTCACACCCCCACCTCATTTTGAAGTCGCTTTCCCCTGAAGACAGATGCTTAAATCAGCGTGCGAATGGGACAGCAACTCAAGCTAGAGAGGCAGGGTCTGGCTGATACGTGGTTGAAGTATACACAGGGGCTGTTGTTTCTTACTTTGCAGTGTTGGTGAGTCCCTATGGTTTAAATGGCACACTCACGGGCCAGTCGTATAAGATGTCAGACCCAGCAACTCGTAAATTGATGGAGGAATGGCAGTATTTTTACCCCATGGTGCTGAAGAAAAAAGAAGGCATGAAAGAGGAAGAAGAGCTGGGCTATGACAACTGTGATTTCCCTGTGGCAGTTGAAGTCATTGTTGGTAAGTTGCCGTATTCTGCCTGAGGGATTATTTTTCTCCACGTGATTTAAAAAAAAAAAAAATCTAATTAATGAGAAACAGCCCTTATAATTTTCCTATCTTCTCTTGTAGCTCTCTTGACGCTGGAACATCTGACTAGTTATCTTGCCTCAAGCTTCTGTACTCCCTGTATCCCACATGCTATTATTCACAGTATCAAGCTACTTGTTTCAGCTCTGCAGTGGTTATAGAGGGCTAGGTGTATATTAGTATGTGAAATTCCTTGGCTCTTTATATTTTGGATAATAAGTTTTATCTAATTGACATTGAAAACAAGTTTAGGTAGCTAGGGCTGCCAAGCATTATCAGGTATGTTTAAGACTTTTGGTTTTGCATTTCTTTGTAGGTGGTGTAAGGATGGTGTATCCTTCAGCCTTTGTTCTCATCTCCCAGAGTGACATCCCCATGTCACAGAATGCTGCCAATACTGGAGGCCATATAAATGTGGGACAGCAGGGCCTTGGAAGCGTGAAAGATCCTGCTAGTACCTGTGGGATGCCACTCACTCCACCCACTTCTCCAGAGCAGGCTGTTACGGGTAAGCAATGAACTTTGGAGGCTGGAGTCAGTCTTTCGTTTTTGCATGGCTCGTAGTAAGTGAGGATGAGTATGTGAACAATAGCAGATTAAAGACAGGCAATAGACTGAAAGTTAGGAGAGGACTTTCTCTGTAGGTCTGTGGTAAGGAAAGCCCGTGCTTTAAACACCCCTGAAGGCAACACATCTTAAAAAAAAAAAACCCTTCATGAATTCTGTTTAGCTCCATTTTCTGTAACTGCGTTATCTTTGTGCAGTAGTGCAAATCCTGAGAGACTAGATCCTGACAGTGGTTTAGGCAGATTTTGCCGGTGTTTACGAAGTGTTGGTTTTCTTGTGTTGAGATGGGAGGAGGGTGTCGGTTCACTGTGGTACAAGAGAACAGTGAATGTACAACGGTATGTAGCTCTTCTTGTAAAGAGCTAGAAACACAGCACTTAAGTAAGCATTCATGTTGGTGTAATAAAAATCTGCAAATGCTAGCTATTCTTTTTGCCCAGCACAGTTGGATTTTAATTAAGGGCCATTCAAAAGAAATGCACAAGTCTCTGGAACTGGTAAGAAGGAGCTGGGCTTCCCAAATGAGGTCTGACGTAGCCCTGCGTCGTATGCAGACAGCAAATGGATTACTGAGTAATGTTTGCAAGTGAGTTACGTGTTTTGTCTGGACAGAATGTGCCCCTTTCAGGTATTTGGATCCCTAGGAGTTCTAATCTCAGAAGCCATCCAAATGCTTGCTGTGTAGTGTACTAGATCCTTAATATCTTGCTTCGTTGAAATGAATATGTATAACCTGTTGCTCCTCAGAAATGAAAATAAATATCTATATCCTGTCATCATCTGGAATACAGACAAGACTTTAAGATTAGTTGCTGTCAGTGTGGTTATGCTGTAGCAAATTCAAGAACTAAGGAACAGAGGAGTCAAACATCTGTTTGAGTGGAAACTTCTGAGATAATAAAAAAAAAAAAAAAGGAAAATATCTGATACAGAAAAAAGACATTCCACCCCATCCCCCCGACACTGTTTTGCAGGCATGTTTACAACTGCCCCCCGCCATGTAGATTGTCTTCTGAACTGGCTCTTTACAGACTTGCCAGTTACTGAGAGAATTACAAGATAGTTGGGGTTGGAAGGACCTCCGGAGATTGTTACCCAGCCCTTCTGCCCAAAGCGGGGTCACGTAGAGCAGGTTGTACAGGACGTTGTCCAGTCAGCTTTTGAACATCTCCAAGGACAGCTCCACAATGTTTCTGGGCAACCCATCTCCATGGCTGACCACCTTCACAGTAAAAAGTTCTTTCTTATGCTTAAATGGAGTTTCCTGTATTTCAGTTTGTGCCCATCACTTCTCCTTTCGCTGGATACCTCTGGTTATATCCTCTCTATTCTCCCTGTCAAGTGTTTGTGTACATTGATGAGATTCCTCCTCCAGCTTTCTCAGCCTCTCTTTGTAATCTTCATTAATAATAATTTCACAAGTACTGGCATGTTTTAGGCTTTGTAAATGACTGTTACTTGGAATTAAGTTTTCAGTTCACAGAAGTTTCTCTGACTCGAGTCACATTAGCAAAATCATTAGAGACCACTCACCGCTGGGCAACCTTCTTCTGCTTGGACTTGTGCTTTTTTTGAACTTGTTGATGAGGGCTCACCAAATTTCAGAGAGCAGTAGAAGTGTTGAAGACAGGAAGTTCCTACAAGTTCTTGTGCAGCCAGATGGGGATAAAGAATCCTTGTTATACCCTCACTGGGGTCTAAGGAGCTACCAAACTAGCTTAGCCTTTGTTAGATGGTTCTGTCGCATCAAGAGGCTCGATGCAAAGCCGAAGAAAACCAATTGTCATTGGCTCCGTTGCCGTGGAAGTACTGGTCTGGATTTACTTGTCCACGAACAGTGCCTGTAGATGAAGACAATCAAAGTATTTAGTATTTACCGCTAATAATACAGAATGGGAGATGTAAATGCACTTCAAATAGTAGTTTTCAAGGCAACTGATAGTTAAAATGAGCAAAAAGCTTATTAGTAATTAACTGAAGCGAGACAATCAACTTATAAATAACAGTCTCTGTTGTATTGATGCATATCTTAATGTGCTATTGTATTTCTAGATTTTTCCAATCACTGTTAAACTTGTACAACATCATAAGGACATTCTGTTTTAGGAAATTTATAAACTATTAATGTCTAAAAGGTGTTCATACTGTCCAATCTGGCAGTCACAGTTTCTGTTTATCTCTGCTATTGTTTGAGGGCAACATAAAATTCTGTCAGAGGGGTGCCTCTCCAGTGAGCCATGAAAGGATTCCTTTATATTATATCATACAGCATTTTAAAAGACCTTGAAAAATTGGAGAAATTGATTGGAAAAACATGTCATGCAGTTCAGAATCAGTAAATGGGATAATAAACTGGATTAGTCTGAGGCACATGAATAATACTTCAGTTCTGCCCCATACCAGTAAAAATGCGGTTGTGGTACGATGTCCAGTTTTGAACGCTTAAAGATGTGGACAAATTGGATGGAGTCCAGAAGAGTGCAGTGAGAATGATTATAGATTTTGCAAACAGGACTTACAGGAAATTATGGAAAGAATTGAGGTTGTTTAGTCTAGAGAAGAGAAATTTGAAGGCGAGATGGTGTAACAGTCTTCAGAGACATAAAAGGACAAAAAGAATGATCTTCTCTCTGCAACCAATATGTAATGACCCTAAACTGGAGCAAAGCAGAACTAGGTTAAACATGAGGAAAAAATTTCTCGGAGGAGGGATAATGTAGTGTTACAATAAATTGGCTGGTGGGAAGCTACAGGATTTCCATTAGCAGAGAGATGGGTGGGTTGTTGGGGTTTTGTTGAGGGCAGGGGCATGTTTGTTTTTAAAGAACATGTTAGTCAAATATGTTGATCCAGCTTTGAAGTAGGGGATGGACTAAGATGATCTCTTCAGGTCTCATTTCGACCATGTTTTCCATGATTCTGTCTAAAATATGTGATGAAACAAATTGCTACCAGAACTAGGGAATAGCATGTTTCACGTGTAGAAACAGACTGCACCGCAGGGGTCGTGAAGTGACCCCTGGCGAGTGGCTGGCTCTGTCCTCCAGTACTTATACTGTTATATGGCATAGTTATTTGTGTGCGGTCCAGTATTTTGTCTGTGATTTTCATGGATATAAATTAGTGTCAGTGTATGAGAACAAAATGTTTTTGCCTGCTGCAAAGTTCTGTCATGTATTGCTGTGCTGTATAGTACAAAAACATTACAGAATTTTGGAAAACAATAATTAATCGCTCAAATGTAATTTGAAAGCTCTGGTAGCTACTCGATTCTCCTCTCATACCTCCTATCCTTCCCTTTCCATCATACTTTTTTTTTTCCTGGCATTTGTAACTATCCTGCTATTGACACATGTGACGTTTATGTACACCCATTCCTCCCACCCCACCCCAAGGAGGAGATGTGCTGATTCTGAAGTTTCAGCCTGGTTTTTTTGGTCATCTGTCAAGTTCACAATGTTGTATAACGTTTGAAAGCCAGTGAAATAAATTCTTTGAGCCACAAGCCTCAGTATGTCTAGGGATTTATGGTTTTGACTGCCTCTATTTTTCTTTTTTCTTTTTTTTCTTTTTTTCTTTTTTAATTTAATTAGAATCCCTTACAAAAAGAGACTCAGGGAAGGTCTAACTGGAGGAAAAAATGGATAAACATGAAGAATCAAAGAAGATATGGGGTTAGGCAGCTTGTGCACAATTTTAAAAGTTGTATTTTGAAAGTCACCTAATAGAAATCAGCAGAATTACCTTGTTAGATGCAGTGATGTATAGCAGTGAATCCTTGCAGCGTTTCGTTCTTAAGGCTTCTTAAATTGCGTCAGGCAGAAGGACAAAGTGTTCCGTACACTGATTTGACCTTGTTAAAATGCGGCAAATCCTTACTTACTTTTCCATCCAGAGCACAGAGTAGTGTTACTCAGTTGCGAGGCCAAGTGAGCCTAAAGCTCCCTCTACTGTTGTAGCTTGTGTTTGTAAAGATGACGGTGGTAGCTTTCAGCTGATCTAAAACAAAACCAGATTTCGTAGTAGAAGAAGAAACGTCTGCTTACACGATAGCTGGTAAGGTTTCGGCATCACAGACAGAAAGAAATGAAGTGCAGAACGTAAATCAGAGTTTTCAGGCTATTAACATGTCAGAGTAATCTCTTCATTTGTCGTCAAAGAGATAATCGAGACCCTCACATACTGTGTTAATAGCATACACTAATGATGACCAGTGGAACAATTTCTGCAGTGGTCTACATACCAACGGGAAGATTTTATCAAAGCAAGTTTTGATTCCACTGCTTAAATTCAAGCATGTTATAATGAAATAGCATCACACTAATCCATTCACTTCTTCAATGGGGTTTTATCTAGAGTATAAAGAGCTTTGAAATAGTCTACATAAATTAACGCTTTTCTTGATAAATGCTTTTAGAGCCATCCGTATTCTAATAAATTTAGTCTTTAAAGCAACTTACCAAAGACTCTATAAATTCAAGTTCAACATCCAGGATAACTGTGAAAAAAACTCTATCTGCACTATTTCTTAGTGATCTGATACAAAGCTGCAGGGTCTATCTAAGCTGCTGCCATTTAAGCAGCAGAGTGTGTTACCTCACGTGAGGTACTCGCATGACTGTATTGCACCTGTACCTGGTATGACCTGGTGCCAACTGTTTTACCCCAAAGGCAAGTGTTGCTTTGAAATGTGGTTTAGTCAGTCTTCCATAATGTCGCTTTGAACATCTGTGTAGTCAGCAGCCTTATAAGAGGGAAAGCCTCTTCAGGAAAAAGTGTCAAATGTGAATATTAAGAACTGCCATAACATCACTGCTTGATTTATGTTACAGGAGAAAGTGGATGCTCTCAGAGCAATGTCAGCCATTCAGCTGTACAGGAGGGGACAGTCAGTGTCCACAGTCCAAAGAAATCTGGCAAGATTACTCCAAAATTTCACAATCATATGGTTCACCGTGTCTGGAAGGAATGCATTCTCAACAGGTCACAGTCTAAGTAAGGCAGCAGCCCTGGTGGTTTTGTTTATTAGTAACGTGTAATATATAGTTAAAATTGTAATAGTTTTGCCTTAGATAATGTTCTTCCTCACAGAATTCTTTTACCACTAATCAAAGCTAATGATGCTGAACAGCATTATCAAAGAAAATTTGTTACTGTGTTCAGCTGAATACTCCTAACACTTAACAATGTATTTGCAGTCGTGTATCTTAATTGTGACAGTCTTAGAGGTTGCAAATCTATAATATGTGCCTTCAGCTAGATGCTTTCAGATTTATTGATTGCAGTTTCTGGCTCCAGTTGTGGTTACTAGACTGAAAGTTGGATGACGGAAGAACAAATAGTGTATATTTGATATTTAGAACTCTAAGGGTAAGATTAGTAAAGCATTACGCTATGTGTATTGACTAAAATTCCAGTTGTCAAGAATATGGTAAATTCATGTTGTTAGTATCACAGGCCTTTATTACTGGAGATTTAAAGTATGTTCATGGCATGGTGTGCCCTGAAATCTTTATTTTTCACTATTTCCATGCAATTTCCTCATTGGCTATGTCAGAAGAATTTCCAGATTCAGTTTAAATTGCTTGCTCCTTGCTCAAACCCCAGGCAGAGCTAGCTGATACAGAGCTGGTACCATCCTGCCACGTAACACGAACTATAGGTTTTAAGGAGAGGTAGAGGGAACTACTGTTAAATACAGAATTCTATTTCAAAGGTGAAGTAGAAGGAAGTAATTTATTTGAGGAGAACGTATGTAAATTTATGCACATGCGTTTTTCAAATTTTGTTTTACGGAAGGTGATAACTACTAAAATAATTTTCTCTTCTTCAGGAGGAATCAAATTACAGCTGCAAATTTGGAAGAGGAAGTTCCTAACAATACTGTTTCTTGGGATTTTGTGGATCCAGTCCAAAGAGTCAGTTGTTCTTGTTCCAGGTGAGCTTTGAAGAGTGTAAGCATTTGTCATTGGAAGAGCCCTGTTTAATTCAGACAGAGGTACCCTTACGAAAGGGAGTTATGTTTTAGCTGAGAGAAGAGGCAACTCGAATATCAAAACTGTGGTCATCAGTCATATTCAGGTGATTAATATGTATCTCGTATTTGTCACTTGCAGTAGTCAACTTGAGTGGAAAAATGATCCTAGATGAGAGAAGGGGGCTAGAATCACTCACATTTCTCATTCATAATGAACTCATCCTTCAGGCTTTTCAGAGATGTGTATGGAGTGGTAAGACTGATGATGAAGAGGGGCAGAAGCTGCCTAAGTTTCAGAGCATCCTGAATGAGGGATAGTGCTACCGTGTCTGTTCAGAGGAAAAGCAAAAATATCCCTAAGAATCACTTTACTCCGTCTGCCCCTAGTCAACCTGCCGTGACTCATCGGACACCGGAAAACACCCAAGGGATTATAAAACCTTTGCAGCGTGGTCACACACTGTCAGCTGATCAAAAAGAGATCACAGCTTGCTCACACGAACACTTCAAGAGTTTATTAAATTATCTTTGTTGAATGCTTAAACTTCCAGTACTACTCGCTCAGGAAAGGCAAACCAGCACCACCAATTCTGCTTGATCATTCTTAAAATCATCAGAGAGATGTTACAGGGCTAGAAAACACCCCACAGTTTCCAGTGAAATAGTCCTGTGAAACTGCTTCTACTGAAATTTTTAATTCCTAAGGTCACGCCTAATGAAAAGATTGATAAAGATGTTTTTATGACCTGAAGAAGTTACTCCTTAAGTATGCACAGATGTAAATGGCATTTGTGTGGTCAAACAAAAACGCTGATTGTGCTATGCTAACCCCTTTGGTATTCCC